TATATATATATATATATATATGTAATATATATATATATATATATGTAATATATATAAATATATGAAAAATTGATGTGGGTACTCAAATGATAGGTCTCGATGAGTGTAACATCGTGATGAGCTTATTTCTTTAAAAATGTCAACATTTCACGAGATACAAGGTCATTTCTTAATTATGTATCTAGAGAAACCTTGAAAAGGCATAAATTCAAATCAAGACCTTTGCAATGAAACTAAATTTCACTAAAAAACCCGATTTTATCATATGACTATCCTGGACACAAAATTTTTCTTATTCTTTTAATAATATAGACTATTTATTTTATATTTCAAAAATGTAATCAATAATTTTTGCCTAAAATAAGATTTAAATTCAATTTTATCGAGATAGATTCTTTACGAAGTTTACCATAAAAAATACCGAACATTAAATTGACCTAAAATTTTATTTCTTTTTTATAGTTTAAAAATCTCTTTATCTCCTCGTAAAATTTACATTTTTATTATTTCAATTAATTTTTTTTATATAAATTTTATTGTAAAAAATTTGAATTTTTTCTCAAGATTTTGAACTAATTTTTCGTTAAAAAAAAAATACATTTTGATATTGAATAATAAAAACTAAAAAAAACCTGAAAAGAAAAAAGCAAAAAAATTTTTTTTTCAAAATAATAAACTGCGAACAAATATTCAACAATAAAAATAATCTTCTTACCTGATATGAGAACCAAGACTATCCACATGATTCCCACCAGGCTCTTCATCATGTCATTGTGACGTCACGTCCGCCTCATTTCTTCTTGGCTCCTCCAGGTCTTCCTTCTCCCACAGCCGCTCTGAAAAACAAATTAAAAAACGATTGCAATAAAACAAGAATTTACATTTACATTCAAATTCATAGTATTCATATTCATATTCGTAGTGCATACAACAATAATAATAATAATAATAATAATATCAGCCGTCTCAATAAATCTCAATCTGGCAGCGGAGTTCGACATACAGCATTAATAAAAAGCTCGGCATAATAAAGTACAAAACAATAAAAACTAGTAAAAGTTAAACTCCGGAACAGTGCAGGGAAAAATAAAACCCCGTTCAATAATACGTAAAAGTTATATAGACTCGGTAATTTTATTGCTATCGTTTAATATCGTCCCGTTGTAAAGCCGGACAAGAGAGAAGAAACCTCGGGGTCTCGATCCACACCAAACGGATAGGGACTGTGACCAGATATCGGGATTGTAGAATGTGCAAAAGAGAAAAGAACAAATATAAAATAAGAGGTTATAAAAATAAAATAACGTAAAAATCGACGTTGAGACCCTGAACAAGTGCCAATATCCATAACGAATATGGCCGAGTTCTTCTATTCCAATCCTCTTTTCTCATCGGTATCATCCTAAAGCACATCACTCGACCTTCGATTTACCGTCAAACCCGAATTTATCTTTACATTTTTCCTTTATATACTCTTATTTCCACTTCTACTTACACTTTTGCTACTATTCTTCTTAGTTTAATGTCTTTTATTTTCAAACAAGACTTCCCTAATTCGCGTAAAACCTAAAAAAGACCATCCGGCAGCTGAAATGGAAGTAGATTTCATAGTCAATCAATAAATACTAAAATAATCGTTTTTAAAACGAATGTAAGAGCAAAATTCCATTAAATAGACAGAGTAAGTAATTTTTGGCTCAGATTTTTTTTTTTAACAATTTAGACCCTGAAGCCAAAACCCCTTAAGGGTCTTACAGTGTATAATCTTATGCAAATAATCTTAAAATTTATGTTGATAATAATAATTAAACGAACTTATTAATAATACAATAGATTGATGATGCACGAAAAAAACTGGAAAAATTACAGTTCCAGATTGTAATTATTACAGTTTTTATAAGAATTACATTGTAGAATGTAATATTTATACTGAAAGCTCTGAAAATTAAGATTTAAAGTTTAAATTTACAAAAATGATATTTCGAACTTAAAACTTATTTATTAAGCTTTTAGAGAAAATCAAAAAAAAATTTTACAAGTTATCGCATTCAATATTTATTTCGCAAAGAAGTAAAAGGATTTTTTTGGAATTTTTGAGGATTTTAAAGAATTCAAATTTTTATTATTCCTAAACTGTTTAATTAAAAAAAATAGATAAGTATGAAAATTAATGCTTATTAAATAAGCTTTTAGGCACAATTTAGAGAAATTTAATATGATATCGCGTTTAATTGTTATTGCATGGAAATACGATAAAAGTCAAATTTTATTTTCTTTAGGGTAGAAGTACCGGTTTTGGCCACTTGATATTTTAGTTAATTTGTAAAAAATGTAACTATCAAAGTAGAATTTTTATAGAATTTATGAATTAGTACATTTATACGAATTGAATTCATAGTTTTGCGCTTATAGAAATATTTATACAATAATTTGAAAATAAAGTGGTCAAAAAAGGTACACTGGCCATAAACAGTACTTCTACCCTATTTAATTTAAATGCCGAGGCATCTAAATATCAACAATATTAGAATTATGGCTAATAGTATCAGTGAAAACAATCAAAAGTTTAAATAATATAACTAGCTGATTATATTTAATAAAGCTTACATTCTCTTTAAAATCAAGGTCGTGAAAGAATTTATAAGCTTTTTAGTCTTAAGATTTTGAATTTTTGCAATTTAAAAAAATTTTTGAATTGTTGTAATTTCTAAACTAATCGACAGATTTGGTTCATCTTATTAGGTGTTTGAATTAATTCGTAGCGTTATAAAAAAGATAGCGCAAATAGGACAGGATGCCATTGGTACCTAAAGTTATCCATTTTATGTGAAACAGCTATTATTTGGGGTGTTATAAGCTACTATTATTATTATTATTTTTTTAACGTAAACAACAACACTCCGTAATTCATTAAAGATGTCAAAATTAGTTCCGGATAAAGTGTTTTAGCGGGGAGTTTTGCTTCATTATTTTAATATGAATAAAACTGCTGCCGAAAGTCATCGAATTTTAGTGGATGTTTATGGTGAGCATGCTCTAGCTGAGCAGACATGTAGAAAGTGGTTTGCACGTTTCAAAAGTGGTGATTTCGATCTGGAAGATAAAGAACGACCGAAAAAGTTTGGACAGCCGAAAAAGTTTAAAGATGAAAAATTGGAGGAATTGCTCAATGAAGACTCATGTTAAACGCTTCAGGAATTGGCTACGTCATTGAATAAGGGATTTTTTATATTTTAATTTAAATAAATAATTTTTTGTAAAGTTAAAAACGCTACGAATCAATTCAAACTCCTAATAGATTTTAACCTTAGAAATCGTCCAAAAAATGAGTATGTTACATTTCATTGAAATCTGTTGAAAATTAAGGGAGTTATAGAAGAGACAGAGCCGGTAATATTGTACATATCTAAACTTTTGAACCATAAGTTCCGTTATAAGGGCCAATGCAATAGATTTCTATGAAATCTACTAAAAATAGCCACGTCTATTTTTGTCGGAGGTTAACTTGGATGTTTAACTATACGAAATTGGCTAGCTTGTATCTTTATTATCATTAGAAGCGAGCTGAGTTTAATTGAAAGAAGAAAAGTCGCTTAAAGGTCATTCGAATTCCAAACGGCAAAGACTAAAAGGAAATTTATCCACTGATATGCAGCGTAAATTTAACCGATAGCTTATTCTCTCTTTCATATTCTGCTCCACTTCCGACTACTTAAATGCCACAGTGCAGTTTAAAGTTTAACTTTGGTATATAGCTATAGGAAGTAAACTAAACCGGGATGTAAAAATTGAATACTCGTGTTGTCAATCGGAAAAAAACCAATGAAACCACTTACTCGTTTCATTGTTCCAACTCCGCAGTTCATTTATTACACATTGTCCGTTCTCTTCTTCAATAGCTATTTTAATTTTTAATTCCTTTTTCAGAGCTATTATTTTTATTGTTGTTATATAACTGTTGAGTGCTCCACGGATGACCCGGGAGTTCAGTTGTCAACGTCACCATTCAGATAAATTCAATTTCTCAAATTTTCACATCCGTTGGACATTAATTTGATAGCCGGTCATATAATGGAAATGCTCAACCTTCTTCGCTCTTTATCTTTCAAATTTATCGACAGACCTTTTTTATTCCCTTCTGGGAAACAATCGCAAAAAAATGCTGTAATAATTTTTACTGCAATCATAACTTTATTTTATTTTTTTCAAGTGGGTATATCGAGGTGGTAGCTCGCGAGTAATTTGATGTTTAAGCAATCGAGTTTTGGAAAATTAATTAGTAATAAATTTGTCGAAAGAATTAAAAAGTCTTTTTTTTTTTAATAAAAAATAATAAATAATCAAAAAATTACGATTTAAAGAACTTTGGCTCAATTTTTTTCATATTTTTAATAATATATTTTGTTCGGGTACTTTTGGAATTAATTTCAAAAATAATATTGCTATTTTAGCAATATTTTTATAAATTTGACGGGACAAATTTAAACAACTAATAAATTATTCAAAATTACTCCAAAAACTTGATATAAAAAATTAAATATTGCCCAAAAAATATGTAAAATTGTAAAAAAAACACAAATTTTATTGAAGACTTTTTTTATGACACAAAATTTGAATGATTCTGAATTTGAGAAACTTTTGATAATTTTTATAATTTTTTTTAACAAGTAAAATGTATCAAGAAATTTTTTTTTTTAATTTCAACTTTAAAAAATTATAAATGAAATTTTTTTTTAAATAATTTTTTAGACCTAGTCTATTTGTCAAAAAATTAAAAAAACTTAAAAAAGTGTCGACTAACTTCAGTATCATAAATTTTACTATAAAAATCTAATTTATAATAAAGATATGACAAATTTTTATTATTTTGCTGAATTTTATATAGCGTGAAAATTTAATCTATTAATAATTACACCGAAAATTAATTATTACAAAAATCTATATTAAACCTTCAAAAGACACAAATTTAGGTCAAGACATTTTTAATTATATTTAATTTTACTTAAGAAACTCTACTCTATTTTAATCTATATAAAATTCTTTTATCTTCTTAATTACATTTATTAATTTTAGAAAATTATTTTTAAAAATTTGAAATAAAAATAACATCAAATTAAAGGACATGAAAGATTTTAATAATAAATAATTAATATTGCAAATAGATAATAATAATTAAAATATTATTTTTATCTAAAAAGGATCTCTGACAGAATTGAATGTACATTTGTTAAAATAATTATTTTTCGAGTTATTTATCCTTAGTAAAAATATTTACCCCTAATTAAAAGTTTAGTAGCGTAAATTTTTCATTAACTAGATCCAATAATTAATGAAGTTATTTGGTTAGCAGCCGAGAGTTAAGTAACTTTTGACGACTGACAAATTGATAGGATAGTTAATACAACATCCAGCATTCAGTATTTTATGGACCGGATGGAGAGCGAGAACGAGAATGGTGACATGAAAACTGAGAAAACCGGTTAACAATATCCCAGAAGTTATACTATACCTAATCTAACATTAAATTCTAATGGAACATTGTACCAGTAACATTAGTTTTGAATAGCCGAGAAAAGTTTCGAGTCACAATGCGACGTTACACCTCCCGCCTCTATCTGCATATATAAAAGACTGTTGTGTGAAGAGAAATATCATATATGTGTATGTTTATGTATATGCGTGTACTCACTGGATTTATGAATTTAATAATGGCTCAGCCAACAACGGCCACAATTAAAATCATGAATAATCTCACGCTTTTCCA